AAGGACTCCTCAATATGATGTCGCTCAAGTCCGAAATCTTAGATCAGGTCGTGCATTTGCATACAGCACCGTTCAGCATCATGCTTACCAGGCAGTTCCTACTGTAGTCAGACCGGTAAGTTATTTTGTTAAATATAATTTTATCATGCTATAATTCATTATTATTTGAAAAAAAAATTCTTTAATCCGTCTGACTTTTGGAATAAATCATCATCGTAGTTCTAATTAGAATCGTGCATATACTATCCAAACTTTACTGCATTAAGCATTTGTAAGAACATATAACATGTGCATCAAACGAGGGTCTTAAATAATTGTTTATCCATTAACCTTGACATTTTCAGGTTGTCTCAATATACCCGCCTATAATTCCGTATAGTTCATTTTATCCTTTAGGTTACTCCTCTTTTCTTCCTTATTATCCTTCATATGTTGGGGGCCTCGGAGGTTTCGGAGGCGGTTTTTACCCCGGATTTGGAGCAGGGGGATTTTACCCAGGATCAAGTTACCAAAGTTCCCAATTTTCTTCGAATACAAATGACAACGTAAATGTTAATGTCGATAATTCAGCATCGGCAGTCAATAGTGATACTTCTGGAGCAGGTGTGAATGGTGGAACTCCGTTTTCTGAAAATAGCGGAGGTTCAACATTTTCTGATACTAGTGGAAGTGAAAGTTCTTTTTCTGAAAACAGTGAAGGCACACCATTTTCTGAAAATTCACAAGGTTTCGATGAGCAACAATCTCAAGATGAAGTATCTGGACCAAGCGGATTTGATGATTCGGATTCAGTCGCTGTTGATTCTGAGCGAAAGAAATAAATATTGATAATAGAATAATAGAAGAACTCATTGTTTTAAGATCATTTTCATATAAATCTCTATATCAAGCAATTCATTGATACTATTGTTTGAATATTCCATATAGTATTGTATTGAAATAATTTTGTATTTTTATACGATTTTTTATCAATAAATTTGCTCTCGATTATTCTATTTAGTTGTAATTATATTTGTAGCGTCTATATGATTGGCAATCAAGGAACAACATTTCATGTGCCTGTGTGTGTATAACTATGATAGATGAAAATATATCTTACTTGTAAATTGCGTGATTCAAGTAAGTTATATTAAAGTTCAAAAAGTTAAATTTAAATGTATTTGTATTTTACAAAAATTTTGTTAAATTTGAAACGCAAATTTACCTGTAAAAACAATATATAATTTCAAATATAAATATGGAAATGAATCATACAAACATCGCACATATATAATGTTTGCAAAAAATGTAAACACCTGGTGAATAACAAATACGTAGACAATATGTAGAATATTTGACTATTAAATGAGAAATATACACGTAAAATACCCAATAATTAGGGATAATATAATGGCTATAAAAAACTATGCGATCACCAAAATTAGTCAACTTAAAATTGGAATTAATGTTTTTTTTTTAAGTTAAACATTTTATTTATTTATATTTTTAGAAAGATTGTTAAAATAAAGATTATGTCGTACATTTTGAAAAACCATAATTGTGCTAATTTGTCGTGATAATTAAACAGTTACTTGTCACAGTTTATTTTCAACATTGTATAATGTTTTTTTACATATATAAGGAAGCAGATTATTAATCAAAACATTAAACGGAACTATCTGATGAGTACTTTTTACTCTGGTTTTTCCTTTTGTAAAATAGAGCTCAAAGGCAAAATATGGCTTTGGTTATTTTTTGAGTTTTATAGGATTATTTTAAATATAACAACTATCATATTAATAATTACATATTGATATTACTTAATTAATAACAATATTACGATAAAAATAATTACAATTAAATGAATTATATTTGTTAAGATTTTATAGCTCTTTTCATGAAAAAACGGGATATATAAATTGAACTGAAATCAAACTTAATGAAAATATTATAATTAAAATGAACAAATTTGATAAACTTTTTACTTAGTTTTAAGCAGTTTATTGTATTTCTATAATTGTAGTATATTACTATAATATGCGCATTACAACAATAGTATGATTTCTTAAAATTTAATCCAATAAACTAAGAAAGCAATCGCGTACGCAATAACTTTTATACAATATTCGAGAGTAATTTAACGCCTATAGATAATGCAACTCGATATGTTTTCATGTAAACCGATTGAAGGCAACTTTATACAACATAATAATTATGTTAATATATTATAATATTATGTTTTATTGAAATCTTAGATTTTGCAAAATATATTTTATACTCATAATTCGATCGACTCTTATATTTACTGGAAAATATCAATTAAGTGATCAGAAAAATCATTATGTATCTGCAAAGGTACCATGGTTGGTAAATTTAAAGTTTTGAAGACTTGTGGTATGAAGCGGTAGAGGCCAGTAATAATTCTAGCAAGACAAATACGATTTTAAATATGCAATCAAAGAATAATAATCATTTAATAAATTTAATCAATTTATTCAATTTCAATAAATATACATAATTTTATTTTAAATTTATATATACATTTTTGTTTAACAATCAATAAATATCAATTAAATATTATCCAAAAGATCTATGAAAATCGAAAATATCTTAGAAAACAATAAATAAATGACTTTATATAAATTCTTAATTCACAAAATCTCTACCGCTGATAAATTGTTTAAATACCCACACATTTATTAATTTTTTACAAACATTTCACTCGGCAACACTGAAAAAAAAACAGTATATTATTAGAAATAAAACAAGTAATATTATGTTAAATGTATAAGACAAAAGCATAATATTCAACTTATAATTGGTTTTGAAAATAATATGAAATAATTTAAAATTTGTATTCAAAAAATATATGTCCTTTTTCTTCCTAAATTCTGAGACTCTGTATCATATAAAAATTGTTTATATATAAATTATAAAGATAAATATATTTTATCTTATAAAGTCAAATTTTTACTCAAGTCTAACGATTAATTGGGAGCATTTAATAAATAAAATAGTATTTCTGTTGACCATTGAGCAAAAGTTTATTTTGAGGGTGTTTTTCTCATGTACTTTGTTAAGTTGTTTATGGATATTCGTAATTATTTCAATTAAAATTAATTTGTCAGTATGCCAGTACTAGTGATTTTGATCTATTGCAATAATCAGTATGGTGGAATTCTGATTAATTATTCATTTTTGTTCAATTTTAGACAAAATGACATACTTATATAATGGACAAAATGACATAGTATAATTACAGGACATAGTCCAATTACAGGATCAATTATTACAGGACCAAGAAAAAAAATGAAACTTGTCAAAAGTGGTTGGCTGGTGAACTTCTGCTCCAAGTATGCAAGAAATAATTGCTAAAAACAGACCAAAAGATCCACCAGTAAAAAGAAGAGAATTGCATTTGTTGCAAAACTCTCTTTTTCCGTTCTAAGCACGGCAAAGATTGGTTACAATGTACGACTTGTACCCTTTGGGTTCATGCTTCATGTGCTAATATTCCAGAGAGGACAAAAGGATTTATGTTTGAACTGTTTTCTTAAAAATCAGCATCTCAGTAAGTCCTTACACTTGATGTCAATTTGTCCGTACTATATGGACAAAATGGTTTTTGTAAAAGGTTGCGTTTTTTTCTAATAAATATGTTATTATAATTGCTTCTCAATTTAAATACTATCTTACTGGTAGTCAATTAATCGAAAGTGAGTTAAGGGGGTCTTCCTATGTGATGGGTTGAAAAAATCGATTTTTTTTCATAAATTGCTTCCTTAACATATCTAGAATACGGTAGTAAAACGATTTTAGAAAATTCGAAGTCGTTTTAAAGATGCAGCAGGTAAAAGAAAGAGCGGTTCGGAGCGCTGAGTTGGCAGTTAGAGCCCGGGCCTATTGTGTACCGTCGGCTTTATACCCGTTCTCCCTTTTATTCATATATCCGTTTATACAAAGTTTGTTTAGGAGCAGAGACACAAAACAATAACGAATCTTTGAATTCTTTGATTTGGACTTTCGCTCCTAAACATCTTCATTCTGGTCCCAAAATTGTTGAAATTGCTAGCTACTTAGCAGTTATTATCTTTAATGAAGGTTTTCAAGGTATTTTAAAAGTTATGTCGATTATGGGATGCCCTGTTGGTCGTGAAGCCCAAGCGTATGTTGAGAAACGGAATGAAAAGCGAATCTTACGTTCTGAGCGGCGCGTAAGTGATGTCGTTAAACAAGCCAGGATTGACTCAAGAGCTGAACAATCTGCTTCAAAAGAGTTTCACGAGGAAGAGGTAGGAATACTCTATGGACCAGGCATCGCCGATTGAGAGTAAGTTGATATTTTAATAGTTTTTAACGGACTTGAAACTTTAAACGCGTTTTTGTCAAAATTGTGTTTTTCAAACTTTCCTCCATTGTATCTCAGAAACGGCTGGACCGAATTACTTGAAATTTACAGGGCACACTCAATATATTTAAACGCATGGAATGAACTATTTTCAAAACTTCGATTTTGTTATAGCAAAAAACAAAAAAAAACGCCTAATTTGCAACTTTTATTTCAAATGTCTATCAAAAATCCAATTTTTTTATATTCATTTGATTATAGGTCATTCCGTGCTTTTAAGCCTACAAATTAAAACGCCGTTTTTTTTTTAGATAAGCCGATCAGCCGGAATCGTGGAGGAAGTGGGAGCTCTTTTTTTCGAGGCGAGGGTGTTCAGAGCGCTGTAACTCTAGTTTGACTGAATATTTTTAGCTGAAATTTTATATTTATACTGTCCAAATATGTATTAATAAATGATAAAAAACTTGAAGCTCTAAATATTTACTGGTCGTAGAAAAAAAAATCCTAAAATATCCCTAAAAAACAGGCCGTTACATAGGAAGACCCCCTTAAAACTATTGAGACGATTGAGAAAATCATGTCATTTTGTCCGTACTTTCCCTAGATATTTTCAGAAAAACAACATAACATAAAAAAACCTGAGATCTACTTACTATTTGTCATTTTTATCTTGTTACTCCTCTTCTAAATTTTCTTCTAATACTTTTTCTTGTTCTTCAGTCAGCTGTTCGGTCATACTGAGCTCAAGTTGCCTCCTGCGTTCGGCCTCCTCCCGCTTGCGCTTGTATTCGGCGTCCTTGGCGTCCTGCAGAGCGATCTCGCTCTCCGTCAGCGCGAAAGAAAATACCCTCGGAATCACCTCTTCGCTCTGGATGTGCAGCAATTCGACAGGTGGAGTGCCTCGTTCTTCATTTCTCGTCGCCATCTCTTGGATTTTCTGAACGATTTCTTCAGGAATACCTAAGTAAGGAAAAGTGATTAGTAAATTTAATTTAATCTTGCTGATAATACTAATTTTTAGATGTTGAAATTCATATCAAAAATATTTTTTGACATCGAATCTTATAGGGTGGAGCGGAGCTAGTTGAGAATAGGGTCAATTTAAGCAATCGAAATATCTCGCCCATTTAGGCATCGGGGGAAAGTTAGAGGTTTGGGAGAAGTAAAAATCCCGCGATCGCTAGTGGCCGCTGGACAAATGAGTGGGGCGCACGGGCGTTTTGTTCAATTTGAGACCAAAAAGTGAAAAAGTCATTCATCACGAGTTTTCTTCTGGTTTAGTCAAATGTTATTTGTTATCAATAAGGTAAATGTTAATCTTTCATAAATTTGTCGTACTTTTAATACGCACTGAAATTCTTAGTACAGTAGAACTCCAATTATCCGAACTCCGACTATCCGAATCGCCGATTATCCGAATTACTTTCAGAAAAAAAATTGTCCAAAAAAAGTCTAAGTGCGCTATTATTCTTCCACCAGCAAAGCCAGTGTAGGCACATTGTTTGTTTTGATTTGACGGAGATGTTTAAAAAACAATGATTTTTATTTCTAAACTTGTACATAAGTACATTTTATTTATATTTAAAACATGTGAAAATGTCATGTTTCTTTCATTTAATTCAATAAAAAAATAGTGCAATATCAAAACGTAACTTTTTTTCTCTCCAATGGCAATTTTTAAAAAAAACTCCGATTATTCGAATATTTGATTATTCAAATGGGTCCTGGTCCCCATTAATTCGGATAATTGGAGTTCTACTGTATAATTCTCACGGTTTTTTTATAATCTCACTTTTATTTTGAAATTTCGAGTTGGGGTTAGTTGACCATAGTTGCTGAACTTGTTCTATGACTGAGATAATTACCATTGACTTTCAAAAATTAATTATTATTTTGAAGCTTTAAGCTAAGTTTAAGTAATATTATAAAAAATAATGATTTTAAACAAAATGACTGAATATAATGGTAAAATTATTCCTGAGATATCATGTTGTTTTGTTGATTCTACTTTTGGTTAATTATTTAAAGAAAATTACCATAAGTGTTGTTTTCTCTGTTAATAAAGATTTTATTTCATCACCAATCGACATTACTTAACCTAAACCTATGGTTTCATTATACTTTCTTAGTACTACACTTGCTTCACTTATGGGGTACACTGAGCATACTTGATTTTTTGCACTAAAACAGCTGTAGCAAGAATTTCATAATATAATCAACTCTTTTTACTGCGCTGCATTGATTCAAAACTTTTGAGGGATCATTTTTTAATACAATTTTTATATACAAAAAAGTGGTGCATTGCATCGTGCCTTAAGGTAAATTGATAGAACTTTTTGTATTGAAATTTAAAAGTGTTAGAGGCTCAGAAAAGGAAAGTAATATTTTTTTACAATTTTTTTTGAACATTTTTGAAGATTTTGAAAACATTTGAATATTGAAAAAAAAGCCTTTAAATAAAAAACTATTTAATTTGACCGTATATGAATTTGTTTATTTTAATATATATTGATTAATAATCAAAAATTACTAGTATATGTGCATGAGTATTATAAATAACAGCAATTTTTGGAAGATTTGTTACTTAATTACATATTGAGAATATTAAATAAAGTAATATATGTTGGAATGAATGCACAATATAAAATATATACGTATTTGTACCTAGTACTTTAGAAAATATTCAAAAAACAACAGCGTTTTCAATAATCACGATAATATCAGAAACAATTCACAAGGTCACTCAATTAAAAAAATTAGTCAAAAATGTGCCAAGAAAACTTGATGTATCAAAGAATTTTTTTTGCCGACATTCCTGAAAAAATACTATTATTTATGTCACACATAAATGACTGACATGGCCTTATAATAAAACTGTTTTCTCCTTCCACCAAATCGCGTATGTCTGACATGGCTCATATAGAACTAACGTCAGACACTTATGAGTATGACCGACCTGGTGATTGACTTGTCAACAGTTTGCATTATATGTTTGACACATTCTGATCGGAATTTGAACTTATTTATTTTAAAACATGTGAGTTAAATTGATGTTGAGTTGATAGAATGATTAGAATTAAAACTTAGAATAGAACTATATTTATCTTACCAGTTTCACGGCAGTCAATACTGGTAATCATTTGGTTATGGACCATACTGCTGTTTAACCATTCACCACCTTCTGCGCCTAACTTATTTGCTGTAATATCCAATACGTGAATTGATCGTTGTAAATTCACTGCTTCGGCAATCTATTATATTTTTAACAGTAATATTCATTAAATATAATTAATTCTTCTACTTATTTATCATATAACTAACTCTTAACGCTCCTTCGGCAAATGCTTCGACTGCTGCTATTATTAATGTTTCTGGTTTCCTAATTCGTATAAGTCCGCTAAGTAAACTTGTTATGCCTTCTTCTTTAAGAGGATTTAGACGCATATCTGGCAATACAGTTCATGATTTATGTAATATATAAATTATTATACAAAGATCTATAAATCATTTTCTAACTCTATGCAAACAATGATCAGTAAATCTTTAGTGCTGCCACATAAGTCAGAAAAACAAAAAGACAGCAAATGTTTATTTTAATATGCTTTTTACGGATCAAAAAATTCAGTATGAGAATTATAAATTTTAATAATATCTCTTAAAGACGTTATTTTTTATTAATAAGTTTTAATATAAGCATTAAAATATTATTAAACAATAAAATTTCTAATACAAACCTAAATATTTCAGCGGAGCAGAACCTTCTTGCATGAGTCCATAAGCTATTCCTCGTGCTCCAAGATCACCAATGCAATTGCAAGGTAACTTTAATATTTTAGAGTCGGATGCATCGACAATAATTTTCCTATCATTAAACCACCTTGATTCCCAATTCTGCAGTAAGAAAAATCCAATTCTTCTAACGGTGCATATGTAGCCAATTCTTGCAGTAAGGGTTGTATTTCCTTATCACCCAAAAAACTTCTGTGTATGCACAATATCCTAAGATTGGGTATCTACAGTAAAATCAAATCGATGTCATTTAAATTTTATTAATGAAATTTTTAATTAAACTTGCTCCATTAATTCTTTTTATTACAAAATATATATTGGGAACTTATTTTCATCGATTATAAATACATATTATTATTTTATATTATGAAAGACAACTTGTCTGTTTTCCGTGTTAAATTTCTTTTTGTGTTGCTGTTAAAATGAACTCAAATTTATTTCGAACTGTGAGCTAGAATTACTTTGAATCTATATGTTTCTCATAAATTGTGGTCTAATCGGGCATATTACTTGGTGAAGCAATAATGGTAGTAAAGAAATCAGATAGCACAAGTTTGAGCAGTTTCTGTTTGATATATTCTGTTTCTCAAAATTTGAAATATAAATATATATATTTTTTTTTCTTTAATAATTTTTGTACCTGTTTTATACCTCTGCCTAACCATCGGCAATCTTCTATGGACATCGATAGCAACTCCCAAGTAAATTTTTCCCCAAGATGTTTCGGATTATATTTGACTCTGAGAGTTTCCAGTTTGGGCAAATACCTAATCACGCAGTCCAATGGAAAATGATCTGCGCAATAAGCTGGAGGTGCTTCTGGTTCCTCTTCGGAAGGTGCAGGAGTCTCTCTTGCTTTTAATTCCGTTATGTCAAGGTCTATTATGTAAGGTGCGAGCTGCTCAGGGAATATTGATTTTGTTGATTATTTTATTTAAGGCAATATGATTTTTTTTTTGAAATTATTACAACTGTTTTTTGTTCATCTATTTTAAATTTTAACCGATTTTACACTTTATATATCTCAATGAGATGGAAGTGTTGGTATGAGGAATCATACTAGTAAACGCGGTGTTCCTAATTGGTCTTCCATCTAATAATGACTTATTTATTTCTGTACAATATTATTCTCTGCACTGACAATGAGTGTTGTAGTATTATCATAATTTCAAGTAGAGTATGAAAATTTAAAAATCATCAGTTTTTATTTCAAATCATTGAAATATAGGAAATGTTTTTTGAATCTGAATTTATTTATATTTAGAAAAAAAGAGCCCAGATAAAATTTTATTCTTATTTTTATTTCAAATTTGCCTGTCTGTATACCATGATTCATATCTCATGAACTAATTTAGATGTAATATCACTATTAAAAGTTAATTAGAGAATATAAATAGCAAGTTCCGCATCTCTAACTTCTAATCAAATGATATTTATAATACAGAACAATCTTTTTTATATTACAGTAAAGTGCAAATCGAGTTTGTTCACGAGTCTTGTGCATATTTATTAATCAAAATATTTTTCTTTAAACAAATGCTAATTCCCTCATTTTGCTCATGTTATAATTAATAATTTTTAGAAATTTTTTGTTTGAGTTATAGGCACATTTAAAATTAAAATACCAATTTGAAGTATTATGCAAGGTAATTGAAATTGTGCGATTTGGCAATCTTTCCCTTTTCCCTTTTCATTTGGCAATCATTTTTAGGCATTACCATAATTATTTTTAAAATTGATAGGGTAAGGCAGAGCACAAAGGTCCAATTTGACTTTGAGCAACTATATTGTGAAAACCAAACCAATTACATCACAACAAATACCACATATCAAACAAACAACTATCTAACAATAAAACTCCCAGCTAATTCATCATTGTAAAAATGTTTTTTTTTCGAAAATTTGTCAGATGGTTCTTTTTATCTCATAGGCGGGGTAAATTGGGACAAACAGATCAAATGTCTTATTTTTAATATTCAAGGGATTTTACAAAATAAGTTACAGTGTTCAACTAATGCAAAATATAAATTTTATTGGCATATTTTTTTCAAAGATAACACTGTATATAATCTTAATCTGGTATTTTGTTAAAAATATTCAAATGTTTTGTAAAATTCCTAACTTTTTTACCCGCAGACCTTTAAGCCCTGCTTTACCCTATACTAAAACTAGCATTTTAGTACATATATTGATATTAAAGAGTCCATTGGATTTATTACCAAGTTTTTCGTTTCTGTTCAATGACCTTAATCGTTTTTTTTTTTTTCAAAAAAAGTATAATTTTATATGAATAATTTCATGCAGATTTGAAAAATATAATGAATATAAGTTATATCGTAATTGTAGCGACATACGGTTTTTTTATTCAAGATCATCGACTATCCTTCACAATTATATTTTATCAAGTTCCTATTCTCGAAATCTCTAAAAAATATTCCAGAATTAAATGCATATCATTTCCAATGACGTAAATAGCTTATCAAATGCATAAAATAATATTATTACTCCAATAAGAAGAATTTAAATTTATCTTATCTGTGTGACCACGTGTTGTTTTCCCGAAGAATTTAATCTATCACAACTCAAATGCGTGATGAATTTTAACACCACGACCTGAGCTACGTAACTTTTCGATGTCGGGTCGAATTTAATCGCACCAGAGTAACACATTTTGTAACAGAATTTAATCAGCGATTTGTCATAATATGATGATGTTTTGCTACGACAGATGTTGCCGATAAAGCATTAGTTGTTACCAAGAAATTGATCTTATATACAGATATGATAATACTAATAACAGAATATTGTGAAAGAAATCATAGAAATGAAAACGTAAGCAAAATTCAAGTTTTATATATATTTTTATATCGTATAGATAGCAATATGTTTCCAAGAGGAAATAGCCCTTACTTGTATTACTGCATCAAATAAAAAGTCATCAGTAGTAGGAAAATCTAATAATAACATTTTATATAATAGTGATAGGCCTACCGATGGAAAAAGCTACGTAGTTAGGAAAAAAACTAATTGCTTAAAGTAATTTCTGATTGCTGCTCAAATATAAAGAACCAAAAATTATTGAAAAATTTAAGCAAGAATGAAGAAAAGCAAAAATTTAAGCAGGAAGGAAGGAAGAAAAGATATGGTGACGAGAAATATTGACTTTCTGGTAAAGTGACCTTACCAATAGATAAACCTAGAACTTTGAAATAAGGAAGAAATAAGTGAAAAGAGATTACAGAAATAATTCTAGTCGGATGAAAATATATGCAAAAATTTATAACTGAAAAATGAAAATAAGAAACAAAACAAACTGAAACAAAAGAAAATTTTTAGAAAAACTTGGAAGTAATAACAATGACAAAAGACGACATTCCATTGTATATTACTATAATAGACCATTAAATTGTAATAAACATGAAGAATTTCTAAGGGCTCATGCTGTATTTTTTATGGAAATAATTCCAATTGTTTTGATTGAGCTCATAATTGAGTTAAGATCTATATTTCATTCACTGTAATGTTAAAAATCTGTTACAGAAATATTACAAATTTTCTTCTAATATTTTTAGAGCTTTGCGCTGCAAATTCAAAATTTACTTATTTCGGCTACAAAGAAATATTGTATTGGTTACTTTTGCGTTATTTCACTGTGAGAGAAAAAATTTTGGTTTTTATAATCAATTGATCTACCTTTGCCTGAAACACTTATAGTCCAGTCATTATAGTAAGTTCACCTCGGAATTCGAGATACCCAGCTGTAAGTCTGTAAATACTATTATATTGACACCCTAAAGTTGTCTCAAAACCTACATGTGGTATTGACATCTTACCATATGCAGGTTTTGAGACAAATTTAGGGTATCAATATACAAGTATTTACAGATTTACAGCTGGGTATCTCGAATTCCGAGCATCTTACCTAATTTAAGCTTAAATGACTGAAATATTATTATTTATATTATCATAAACGTTTTTAAAATATGAGTTTTTTACAATGGAGCTTGGAATTTTGAAAAACGTCGAAAGCAAAATTGTTCATTTACAAACTTGTTAGTTTTATAGATTAATGAAAATCTATCTTACCAATCGAACGTCACTTGCTATCTTATCAGTGTCATAATATTCTGGCGATTGCTCCTGAATATATTCCTGCAAATGTCTTTCTAGGTAATACTTTCTCCAATTTCCCGAGTTATCCTTAAAATCTTGGACATCGGACCATCGATGAAAAACACGTCGCATCCAATAACCATCGTCCTATAGATTACAAAATTGCATTTAAAATAATTACAAGTTTAGTTTAGCAGTAACTGAGATATTAAATTATACCTCTATCAGCTCAATACATTGTTGCAAGGGTAATTCTTCCGATAATGATTCATAAACTGTAATTCTATGAACCGGACCCAACTTATTTATCAAATCCGGCTGTTTAGTGAATTGTTGGATTATTACGTCCAAACATAATTCACCACAAGATGGTCCTAATTCTTCGCCAATTGTCATATCCTCACATCTGCAAAGGACTTTTATTTAACTAATTTTCGCGATTCATCAGAAATGAAATATAATGTGTGTTCTAAATGGAATAATGTTTTGTTAGCATCAGAGTGTTTATTAGAAAAATATGTTCAATTTAAGAGTTGTCATTGAATAAGTACTATGTAAATACATAACTAATAATATTATAGTCTTAAGTGCACGACGCGATTGGTTTGGATGATGGTTTATTAGTTTTATTGTATATTGTGTTGTTTCTAATTAAAATTTATTTTTAATTAAATTATATATATATATATATATATATATCCATTTCTCAATTTCCTATCGTTATTCTCAAGGGATCATCTCGTTTCGATATTTTCATCACTTTCCATTTGTTGATGTTGATCTCTATTCCGCATCTTCTAACCACTTTGCCGATTCTGCTCATCATGTTTTGTAGCTCTGTTTGTATTTTCGATATCACCACGATATTATTTGCATATTTTATGGTGGTGATTTTTCTTCCTCTAAGTTGACGAGCCATTCTCTATCAGGTTGTATAAGATAGGTGACAATGCAGCATCCTTGCCCCACTCCTCTACCTATTTCAACGCTGTTTGTATTTCTCTGGCTCACTCGAACCTTTACTTTCTGCTCCATCTACAGATTTTGGATCATCCTGCAAAAATTAGATTTCAAGATCCCCAAAAGCGTACTACAGTTGATTGTGTCAAAGGCTTTTTGCCAATCTATAAATCAGAAGCGAACATCGAAACATCTATCCGACATTATTCTCAATATTCCATTGGCATGTCTGGTACCTCTTCCTTTTCTGAAACCAAACTGGTCTTGCCTCATGTTCTGCTCGTAGTCCAGTCATTATACTAAGTTCATCTCGAAATTCGAGATACCCAGCTGTAAGTCTGTAAATCCTTGTATATTGACACCCTAAAGCTGTCTCAAAACCTACATTTGGTATTGACACCCTATCATATGTAGGTTTTGAAAAATTAGATTTTAAGATCCCCAAAAGCGTACTCCAGTTGACTCTCAAAGGCTTTCTGCCAATCTATGAATGAAACATCGAGACATATGTCTGGCATTACTCTCAGTATTTCAATGGCATGTCTGGTACCTCTTCCTTTTCTGAAACCAAACTGGTCTTGGTTCATGTTTTGCTCGTAGTTCAGTCATTATATTAAGTTCACCTTGGAATTCGAGATGCCCAGCTGTAAGTCTGTAAATCCTTGTATATTGACACCCTAAAGTTGTCTCAAAACCTATATTTGGTATTGACACCCTACCATATGCAGTAGGTTTTAAGACAACTTTAGGGTGTCAATATACAAGTATTTACAGACTTACTGCTGGGTATCTCGAATTCCGAGATTCTTACCTAATTTAAGCTTAAAGGACTGGACTATTGATCTTATTTTTGAGTCGTCTCGTAAGGATTTTGGCCAGAATCTTTCCTGTGAAGTCCAACTGATCATCCTGTTGTTCTACACTTGTTTTGCTTAGGGCAAATATGGATGTGGAAGTTTGAAAATTGAAATGTTTGAGAATATTTAAACTATAATTAAGGGATGAAAAAGTGGTAAAAATTGTGAAACCATCGCACCATGAGTTTACTTTGAGCAGAACACCAATAATGTTCATAATATTATATAGTAAATGTAAATATATTCAATAGTAAATGTTAATATAGCTATACGAATATGTTATTTTCAGCCTGAATGTATTTACAAATTAAAAAAAGAAAATTAAATACTTGATTGTTCGTCCTCTTTCACTAGGCATACTGACTGTGAATTCTGATGGTGTATAGACCTTCAAAGCATTCTTGGGAATCGCTAATGGTACACGCATTTCAATCGAAGATATCCAGCAATTTCAATGTTTTTACATTAATTATATTAAATAATGTAAAATAATTGATTTAAAGTTAATGTCTAAAATTAATTATTAAGGTTATGTATTATTTTTATTTCGAAATTTGGGAAATAATAAGCAAATAATCATACAATATTTAATCAGAATAATACAATTAGAAAAATAATAACAATAATTCAGAAACATTTATAAATATTTAAGCGATTTGAAAAACTAGATTGCATTTTGTTTGAATGATATAAAACAAAAATAAATTAGACATTTAAATTTTTATTAAGATTCAATCATGGATGTTTCTTCACATTTCTATAAAATAATAATAAATGCTCACGTGGCAAATAAAGAAAGTGCGAAGTATACGATACTAATATGCAAAAATACATATTTTTACATCCAAAATTTCTAAGTGAGTTATATTATCTAAATATTGAGAAGCCATCATTTATCCTGACTATCTTACTTTATTCCAAAAGTATTAATGCATATAAATTAATTCTTAATTTTTAGAAGGATGTACAATTATAATATAATAGTTTTTCAAATACATATTATTATAGAATAATATATTATTATTATTATTTTGGTAATTGTAAAATTAGTATATGAATTTTAGTAAATCATGCTAATGGCTATTTAGTAAATTTAAAATAAAATAAATCCTTGTACGATTTAAACTAAATTATTAATAAATCTCTTATTTATTCGTTTCATCTTATAAATATATATCATTTATAAATTAAATCTTAATACTATTATTAGTTTGCAAAATGTTATTCTGTTAGCCAAGAAAAGATTTATATTTTGTTAGTTAAGAATTATTTGTCTCATATTAAAATAGTTATAAATAAAATCTTGATACTATTATTAGCTACAAGACTATTAATACTTATTTTAATATAAAAATCTATAAATGTTATTTCGTTATATAAGAAAAAAAAATTTTGTTAGTTAAGAATTATTTGTCTCATGTTAAAATAGTTATAATTAAAATCTATTATTCTATCTAAGATACTATTATCAGCTGCAAGACTATTAATACTTATTTTAATATGAGTTATTTTAAGGTAAAATTCTCAAAATGTTATTTCGTTAGACAAAAAGAGATTTATATTTTGTTAGTTAAGAGTGATTTGTCTCATATTAAAATAGTTATTATTGAAATCTTGATACTATTATTAGTTGCATGACTATTAATGCTTATTTTAATATGAGTTATTTTAAGGTAAAATTCTCAAAATGTTATTTTGTTAGACAAAAAGAGATTTATATTTTGTTAGTTAAGAGTGATTTGTCTCATATTAAAATAGTTATTATTGAAATCTTGATACTATTATTAGTTGCAAGACTATTATATGACTTATTTCAATATAAAATTCTCAAAATGTTATCTTGTTAGTCAAAAGATTTATATTTTGTTAGTTAAGAATTATTTGTCTCATGTTTAAATAGTTATAATTAAAATCATTAATTTCCCATTATTCACATTAATTAATCACATTAATTTTAATATAAAAATCTCAAAATGATATTTTGTTAGCCACGAAAACATTTATATTTTTAAGTCAAGAATAATCTGCCTCATCTTAAAATAGTTATAAATAAAATTTCAATACTATATTTAGCTGCTAGACCATTAACACTAATTTTATCAAAATGTTATTTAGTTAGTAAGAAAAGATTTATATATATTTTGTTAGTCTAGAATTATTTATCTCATGTTAAAAGAGTTATAAATAAAATCCTGATGCTAACTTTAGCTGTCAGGAGAGTAACACTAATTTTGATAAAAAATTCCAAATATCATTTTGTCATCCAATATTAAAATATCAAAATGTTATTTTGTCAGTAAGAGAAAATTAATACATAGTATATATTTTATTAGTCTGGAATTATTTATCTCATGTTAAAACAGTTATATATAACATCCGGATGCTAACTTTAGCTATCAGACTATTAACACTAATTTTGGTATAAACATTTTCAAATATCTTTTTTTTTATTATTTTATTGGCCTCGCTTACTTGAGCATTTAGCCTATACAATCTTCAATTTCATACTATCTTCTTCATATAATTCTATTCTTTCTATACTTCTTAACTCATCTTCATTCTTTTTTTATTTTTTTTCTATCTTCTCATTTCATCTTCTAAACACTTCTTACTTTTTTTTTACTATACTTCTCATTTCATCTTCTAAACTCTTTTTGCTTCAATTCATTTTATTTCTAATTCTCGTAATTTTTATACATTCTGGTTATTTTTACATACATATTTTATATTACAATTCATATTTCCATTACAATTCCAAACTAACTATGTACTTAGTATTTTTTTCAAATAATATAAAAATGTTATCGTTAGTAAGAAAAGATAGTTTACATTCACATAAAAGAAAAAATTTGCATTCAAATAAAAAACATAAATTAAAAATTTCATGTTTGAAATAGTTTAAATTGGCGCCCTAAATTTTCTCGTAGATTTGCCTGAAGTACTTCGCATGTTGGAAAGTTTTGACATTTCATAATGCGCAGTTTGCGATGTACGTTCACGTGAATTTTTTGGTGTTTAAAATTAATATAATAGTGAAATAGTGAATTCAGAGAAATATAGAAGTCTGTAAGTAATAACTCCAAATTTTAATTAATTAAAATGTTAATTTATAGTTGATTTATATTATTTTTTGTTGTGACAATGTATGTCTTCTAACCTATATGTTGTTGAGCACAAATTTAAAGATTATATATATATATATATTTAAACAACAGCTTAGTATAAAAATAAATATTGCAGTCGATTAAAATATGCAAAACTAAGTAATTTGGAAATATTCTATGAATAATCATTTAACTTTGATAATTTGTTGGCGACGCAATTGCATCTATCATGTTATTATTGTTATTATAATAACAAACGCGAATTAGCAACCACTGGTTCGCGTGCAGCTTGATGTCAAGCAGCAGTGATATCAGATTTTCACTTGATATTATAGACCTAAATTATGACATCAAGTGAAAATTGTCTCTGCGGGGGTATTGCTGCCAAAGTTATTAAGTCCGGAGACCTTGGGCTTAAGTGGCCCTCAATTTTTTTTAATCATTTCAAATGTGTGTAATTTCTGTCATCATTAGATTAGTAATATATCTAATTTAGTCATACATTACTTCAACTATAATGCTGCTTATAATTCATCGTTTTATTTTTTTTATTTTTTTATTTGCTTTTATGAATTACAATCTGTCGTTATAAACAACATTCAGTAATTTTAATGGTTTATTATATAAGGTAAAAAGGTCGAAAGGTCACCCATCCGTTTCAATGTTGATTATGTATAGCTTATAAAAGTAATAGTGATACTGATGCGAAAAAATTAAATAAAGCCTACGATAGTAACTGTACATATTATAAATTAGTACACAGTGCTAATAGAATAATGTGTATCCAAATGTTAGTAAAGGATTTCAGAAAGGGGCCGTTTTTTGAGTCGTTTGATGCCATGCTACTTTACTAAATTTTTAAATATGTTGTTTTAAATCTGTTCGGACGTCTTTTCGTTTTATTAGATTGGCCATGAAGGTGACAAACTTCAGGGCATTAAGCTTTAAACGGAATGGTTGCTACCCCTGGTAGAGGGGGTAGCGGAGTGTTTTAATTGAACTAGTTGTACACTTCTAAAAGTAAAGTCCGCTTAACAACATGTGACTAATCAATAAGAATAAATATATCTTCTTTCATTATAATTTAGTAACAAATCAGTGATTGTAATTAGAACTGCATCAAATACATAATATACAAACAAATCAGTGTTTAATACAGTCCACAGCTACAAGGGTTTAATTATAACCCAACAACCTGAATTATCGAATGAGAGTTTTAATAAATTCTATAACTACGTAACAAAAGTACAAAATCTGTATGAACCAACCAATTTGAGACGTACTTGGGTGCGTTTATAATTTCTTTCAAAATCATGCTTGAAATCTTTGAATGATGGCGATGTTGGATTTAATTCAACGTTTTTTTTACCAGAAAAAAGAGTTTTGCATAATCTAGTTTTGCCAAAGAGCGCAATTTGTGATGTATATGAAGTTCACATTTTGGGGCAATTTTTTATTAATTGATTAACAATAATTTTGTTAATTTGTCAGTTAGCTGGGATGAAAGTTAATTTAATGGTAATTTGAACATTTACCTACGTGAAAATACAGAAATACTGTCCTGAAATACGTTGGATTAGTTATAAAATCAAACTATACAAGAAAAGTGCGAGTGTCACAACCGTCCACACCCCAGGGCGACAATCTTTCCCGTCAATATAATGGGAACTTCTTCGAACAAACATACTTTATTTTTTCCATTTGGATCCTATCTCACAATCAGTATAGGTTAGCTGTTATGACGACTGTCACTACCGTACCCTGGCACAAATAAGATTCTAACGATCATTCTGAACGCCCTAAAATATGTACCGGTCTGGCTGCTTCACCAGGACACGCATCTGCTTACTGTAAAGGAAGAAATCACAAGATACGCCATCAAGTACAGTCACCGACTGGAGAACCACCCTAACGAGCTCCTATGCCAGAAAACTAAAAAGGAAAACGCCTTTAGACTTAACTAACGCATAAAACCAAGTCAATTGGTTAAAACCAATTTTTTTTTTTAATTTAGGGAGAATGCAACTGTGCACTCTTCCAAGCATTTAATAATTTATTTGCAGACAATTTCTTTTATGTATTATCTATTATATAAAAATAAGTCGGGTTTTCCTTCTTGACGATGTAACTCCAGAGCGCACGAACCGATTTCGACGATTTTGCATTTGTTTGAAAGATCTCGGGCTCCGTGAGGTTTATAGCAAAGAAAATTGAAGAAAGATTTCAACAGAAAAGCGGAAAACACTTTTTCTTTTTTCACATACAGCGTCATCTTTGATACTTAGTATGTACTGCAAACTAATATTTTTTGTTTGACTGCCAC